TACTAAAAAAACTCTTAAAGTTGATAAATGATTTCAGGAAAGTTGCAGGATACAAAATCAACACACAAAATTCAGTAGCATTTCTATACTCCAATCGTGAACATACAGAAAAAGAAATCAAGAAAGCTAGCCCATTTACAATAGCCACCAAAAAAATAAAATACTTAGGAATAAAGTTAACCAAGGATGTGAAAAATCTCTACAAAGAGAACTGCAAACCACTGTTGAGAGAAATTAGAGAGGACACAAGAAGATGGAAAGATACCACATGCTTTTGGATTGGAAGAATCAACAATGTGAAAATGTCCATACTACTCAAAGTGATATACGAATTCAATGCAATCCCCATGAAAATTCCAATGACATTTTTCTCAGAAATGGAAAAAACTATCCTAAAATTTATATGGAACAACAAAAGACCATACATAGCCAAAGCAATTCTGAGAGAGAAAGAAAGGAAAAAAAAAGCTGGACCTGACTTTAAACTATACAACAAAGCTATAATAACCAAAACACCATGGTACTGGCATAAAAACAAACACACGGATCAATGGAATAGAATAGAGAATCCAGAAATCAACCCATACACCTACAGCCATCTTATATTTGACAAAGGCACCAGGTCTACACACTGGGGAAGAGACTGCCTTTCAGCAAAGGGTGCTGGGAAAACTGGATATCCATATGCAGGAGAAAGGAAGTCTGCCCATACCTCTCACCATATACCAAAATCAACTCAAAATGGATTAAAGAATTAAATATACACCCTGAAATAATAAAACTTCTTAAAGAAAACATAGGGGAAATACTCCAGGAAATAGGACTGGGCAAAAGACTTCGTGAATACAACCCCAAAAGCACAGGCAACCAAAGGAAAACAAATGGGATTATATCAAACTAAAAAGCTTCTGCATAGCAAAAGAAATAATTAACAGAGTTAAAAGACAACCAACAGAGTGGGAGAAAATATTTGCAAAATATACATCTGACAAAGGATTAATATCCAGAATATACAAGGAACGGAAACACCTTTAAAGCAAAAAAAAAAAAAACAAATAACCCAATTTAAAAATGGGCAAAGGAGCTAAATAGGCATTTCTCAAAGGANCATCTCTATGGATGCTGAAAAAGCATTTGACAAAATTCAACATTCATTCATGATAAAGACTCTTCCATTAGGTATAGATGGAAAGTATCTCAACATAATTAAAGCCATATATGATAAGCCAATATCAGTATCATTCTGAAACGGGGAAAGGTTGAAAGCTTTTCCCTTAAGAACATGAACTAGACAGGGATGCCCACTCTCACCACTCCTATTCAACATAGTGTTGGAAGAACTAGCCAGAGCAATCAGAGAAGAGAAGGAAATAAAGGGCATCTACATTGGAAAAGATGTAGTCAAACTGTCCCTGTTTGCAGATGATATGATCCCATATATTGAACAGCCTACAGCCTCTAAAAAAAAACTCTTAAAGTTGATAAATGATTTCAGGAAAGTTGCAGGATACAAAATCAACACACAAAATTCAGTAGCATTTCTATACTCCAATCGTGAACATACAGAAAAAGAAATCAAGAAAGCTAGCCCATTTACAATAGCCAACAAAAAAATAAAATACTTAGGAATAAAGTTAACCAAGGATGTGAAAAATCTCTACAAAGAGAACTGCAAACCACTGTTGAGAGAAATTAGAGAGGACACAAGAAGATGGAAAGATACCACATGCTTTTGGATTGGAAGAATCAACAATGTGAAAATGTCCATACTATTCAAAGTGATATACAAATTCAATGCAATCCCCATCAAAATTCCAATGACATTTTTCTCAGAAATGGAAAAAACTATCC